ACAAAACTTTGTAGAAAAACTTCATTTCAAGTCTCACTTTGATGCTAAATATGTACATGTGCGAGAATATTTTGCCTAATGGAGGCAAGAATTTTATTGGATTTTTATTGGATTTTATCAGGATTAGATACAATTTTATTTATCACTTTGGAAGCTCCCTAAAGGAAATTGAAGTTCCAGCAGCAAATTTACATAAGAGAAAAAAAGAATGATCAAATATACAATATAAATAAAGATTAAGATATATGAAACTTCAAGACAAATTCAGTATTTATGTGAAAAGTAAGATATAAAGTTATCAACATTTGCACATTACTGTTAGGACAACTACTTCAAGGGTGACCATATTCTGATTTTACCAAAAAGAGGACACGACTGTGCGGGGGCGGAGTCACAGAGTCACACATTTTGAGAGTTTTTCGGGTCGAATCGAGTGTCTTTTACATGCTTCTAACTCAGTAAGTTCACGTGACACAAACTTTAAACTCACATACAAAACCGCTGACATTTGAAGGATTTTATAAACTTTCCCATACAAAGCCGGACAAACCCAACAGCCCCCAAAAAAGAGGACATGTTTGGGTAAAAGAGGACATACGGTCACCCTCACTACTTAATTTCAGAAAAACTAGTGAAATAAAAACTATTTGTAATGTGCTTTTTGCTTTGGCTAATGTGAGCTATTGCTGGCAGGCAGCTGCTAGCTAGCAGGATTGGTGTGTGTCTATGTGTTGGGTTTAATTGCATATTTTTATAGATTTCATTTGTCCGTTCAATATGAAGAATTAAGAAAAAGTTCCTGTGTCACATTTATTTACCTGCACTTTAATTACTTTTTTATTTCTACCCTCTCGATAGCTGTCAGTTTCTATCCACATTCGTTTCCTCTGAGAACCATCTGCAGGTCCTCATATCTCCCCATCCTTAAATGTGGAGGAAGCTGTTGTGTAATCAGTCCGTTCCCTCCCACTCACTGGACTAAAAAGGTTAAGGCAGTGCATTACATGCCGCAAGCGACGCCGGCGAGGGGGTGAAAGTCTGTCAGAGCGATGAACACCTTGAAAGAAATTGGGCCTGATATTGATGTGGTTTTGGATCCAATAGAGAGTGTCAGAGTGATTGACTGCAGTACTTCAGAGTTCTAGCTCAAATCTTTTTAAAGTATAGACAGATGGGACAGAACAGAGCTGATAACTTTATAAAGTAGAGCTGAAGAGCGTGCACTGAAAGGCAGAAAAGAATCAGATACTGGTTCAAAAATGATTCTTTTTTCTCATTTCTTTAACTCAAAAGTTTGTAAAATACAAAGAAATTAAAATTCAAGTGGCTGTCTCACATTTTTCCTTCCCTCTTTGTCTTCACTCGCTAAGTGTTTCATATTCAGTGCACTTCTCAGCGGCCAGTCGTGCTGCTGATGAATTACAGATAAGATAGAGAAGATGGTACTTTGTGGTCTGTCATTTCCGCCCCCATTGTCTGTGTGTCTATGCGCATAGGACAACAGCAAAGAGACAAAGTGGATTACAAAATCAGTTTTGACTTTAAATTGTGCTAAAATCTTGATATTTATCTTAAGCTTTCATAAGCGCTCTACTAGCTTTGTAGTTTTCTGTATCTGTAACTGTCTAGTCTGATCCTGTTGTTTATAGATTCTTATCTCTTATGGTTAAATACAGTGTTACTTTCCTACTGTGTCACTAAATTGTGACGTTACACATCACATCTCATTGTGTTTTTTATAGATTTTTATCTCTTACGGTTAAATACAGTGTCACTGTCCTACTGCGTCACTATATTGTGACGTTACACATCACATCTCATGTGAGTTCATCTCTGCACAGTGAACTTCTGCACTTCCTTGTGAAACTCTGTGTATTTGTTTTCTCATGGTGGACATTTTTATTTTGTGCTTTTGTGAATACATTGTTTTTCTTTAACATTTCGGCTCTTTTGTTTACTTAATCATTAAATCAGTCTTTATTTATACGGCGCCAATACAAGATGTGTAACAGGAGAGAAAGGTACTCAGCGTGTGCATCTTTCTTCTTACCGATCTTATTTACTGTATATGTTTAACCTGTGTCCTATTGTGTAACCGTGCCTCACCCCTAGTTGTGTTCTGCATGATCTTCAACAAATTAGTCTCCATAAACTCATTAAAGCAGCTGAAAATGGGTAAAAACGTCCTTCAGTGTGTAAATCTGTATTTGACGAATGTAAACGGTGGTACCATCATGAATCTTGGCATGGACACTCTGAGCTAAAAACGTTGCCAAAATCACATCCTCATTTACATTCTATGAAACGCTGTTAAGTCCTCAACCCCAACAAATGATGATGGATCTGACAGGATGTGATAGATATACCAGAATAATTAAATCACCCTTTTCTAAGTTTTGATTGATCGCTCTGCCATGCACAATGGAAAAACGCATCGTGATGCTGGTTAGAACATTTGCTCCTCAGTGCTCTGCTTTTTTTTCTCTCTATCTGGCTAAAAACCAGACCGTCCATAACTGTTATTATTCATGAAAACAGAGATGATCAGTGTGTCCTCTCAGAAGATGAACTCAAACATGATTGAAATTGGAAGGTTGTGCCTTTGACCGAATAAATGAATGATAGTTTAGTAGCCCTGACTTGATTTTTCTAGTTCCCTATCTCTTCCCTAGAAATATTTTGCACATGAGTCTGTCTCAGTGTAGCAGGGAAGTTCATGGTTTATGGTTATGGTTGACTAAAAGAAAAAAATGTCTGTTTTCTCACCTTCAAACAAATAAGTCCCTTTGATTTTATGATAAAGGTCTTCATTTAATATCAATTGTTCACATTTTTTAATAAAAATCCTGTGTAAAGTAGTTGCTATCATGTTTTTCCATGCCATTCTGCACATCGATTTATGCCTTTAAAGACCCACTCTGATTAAAACATGTTTTTCTTGTCGTCTACATGCTCAGATGGCATTTTTCTGATGCTACAGGACGTATCATGTGAAAACTCAGTGCAAAATTGAATTTCTGAGTATTTCTTCATTCAAATCGCTGTGAATCTTTGGCAGACCCAAATGTCAGGTTCAGACAGTGAGATTTCCTACATAGCAAATCCAAGCTCCGCCCCCAAAGCCCCACTACACAGGTTACACTCAGAAAAATAGAGAGGACCATCGCAAAAACAAGCGTGTGCGTTAGCAGATTGCAATGCTAATGCGTAAGAAAGCTAATTATGATGCTAACTTTCATCATGCTCATTAAGATATTAGAGTTCGAGAGCTGAATAGCTACTATGTTACCAGTTTTTTCTTCTACGACGGCAATGTTACGCTGCAAGCTAGCATGAAGACGAGTGTGCAGAGCAGCGCTGTCTCCGCCCACGACTCAGGTGAATTGCTCATGAGCTGCTGGAGCTCTGCAGAAGAAAAGCCCTTGAAAATGACACAGGTAAATTTTTTTTTGACTAAAAGAACTTCATAATCACAAATTGAAGCCCACTGATAACACTTTAAGTAGTAAAAGAAAAATGATTTTTTAGACTACATGTAGAGCTAGAGTCGGAGGAAGATAAATGAGAAATATTATTTGTGCTTGAATTCATGTAACCTCTTAATAAATTAAGCTACTCTGCTCATCAGAAGAGCAGACAGACAAAATTGTTAAACTTATAAAATGTTGCTGCCCAAGAGTTAGGCAACTTTTTTTCTAGGTGTGGCACAAAGATAAAGAACTAGCCGCTGATGTTTTCATGAAATACAACATCCTCATTTCAAAGTGCTAAGGAGAATCATAAGAGAGCATGCATGATTTAGAATGAAACATGGTTTGTAACTTACAGGATCCCTTTGGTGGCCCAGGAACTGCTGCTCAACGCTAAACCCTACAAATGAGCTTTCACACAGTTTCACTCCCTCACTACTAGCTTTGCGAGGAGGTACAAAATCACCAAGTTCAAGCCAAGAGGTGGTCTTTGCTGTCAGGCTGTGACCTGTCCAAAGAGATCCATCAGATCACCGTCAGTGTCAATGGCTTTTAATGGGCATAAATATCCCCTGAAGGTGAGTCTCATAGGAAATGACAGTGGTTTCTTTTTATCTGCTGTACAGGTCACAACCATGTTAGTTGTTAGTTATCTTTATGATCATTCAGTGTGCACGCCCTTTTAAGAGGTAAAACATGCTGGAGAGTCTTAAATTGACACAACCAGTGGTTCCTCTTCTCATATCTTTAAGCTACATGAATGAACCTCCATCCCACATTGCCCTCTTGTGGATTTAACTATTCATCTTCTTCCATTCATTCCCCATTTCACTCCATCAGTACTGAGCGGAATAAATAAGGTTTCATTAGAAAGGTGAAGACTTTTAAGAGACTTTACAAATTCAGTGCAAAGTTTCTTAAAAGTGTAGTGAACTCAAACTCGACATGCAGCCAAACTTGAAGTTTTGACAATACGCAGGATGAATAATTTGAAGGAATTTCAGCGACTCACCAAAAAGCGATGGTAATTGAAAATTCAGAGCGATATCAAACAGTTCAGTTAAAGAAGATTGTGTTACTGGCTACTGTGCACGTTCGACCACTACATCACTAAAATTCCTTTTACTTTTCAACATGAGAAACAAACACTGGAAATCATAAACGACTTCCAGCCAAGAGAAAAGCCCCAGCAACACAAAATAACCCTCATGATTGCAGAGTTTGAGCCTCCAGCTCTGAGATGTCAAAGGAATATTTCCCCAGATTTGTGAATGCAGTGAATTTTTCCATGTTTTCCCAGTTTTACTAAGCAAATAGTGACGATATAAAAAAGGAATGAAAATGAAAGGACAACATTTATGGATATTTTCTAATATCAAAACACAGGAGAAGCAAAATAGAGATATTGTAGATCCATGCTGGTGAGGAAAGGAGGAAATGAGTTATATTGATTTTTTAAGGATTTAATAATTCTGCTTTCGTCTTGCAAAACACTCATATTACTTTTAATATTACAAAGATGACAAAGAGGTAACTTTTAGTGAGTCAGAGAGAGCCTCCAGGAGGGCCTGGAGCCTTTCAGACAATTTTGAATTTCTGAAGGATGTTACACTGAGTCTCAAATGTGAAAAAGTAATGAATAACAAACAATGTAATTTACAGAAAAAAAGGGATGAATAACAACTTGACACAAAAGCATAGTATCTGCAATACAATGCATTTCTTATTGGTATGGCACAATGTACCAAAAACACCTACAAAGTTATTGTGGCAACAAAAAGAATAGCCTTATTTTTCGCACCTTTACAAGTCACTTCATGCATATTAAAACTGTTTCTTCAGCTTACAATTTCACTTCTGTTGACAATATTCATGTTTGTGTTTCCTCCCAGACCAGCTTTGACCTGGGCTGGTTTAAAAAATGGTCCAAACTGAAGCAGTCTCACTGAGTCGACCGGTATAAACAAAACATGACCTTTCAAATTTTTCTTGTTTCTCATCTATGAAGCAGAGGAAACACAAATCAACATGAGTGTCCTTGAAAATTTTTAGACTTTTTTAATCGATAAAAACTTTCATCTTGGGCATGAATTATGATAAAGGCAGCCTGTACCGTAGAAGAGAATGAATGTCAGCACCGTGCAGTGAGGAAGGCCTCTCTCAGACTTTCCAGCGCCTCCTCCTGAGTGATCAGTCTCCACTCCTCTGGGATCTTTTGCTGCTCCTGCTCATACTCTTGTGCAAATCTCTCATTGAACCTCGCCAACACATACCTGTAAAGATATATAAATTAAGCTCACTTCAGAAATACTTGCATGCAAAAAAAAACATGGTCTGTTATGGATAAAACAATACCTCCAGTAGGCACAGGGCGTCTGGCCTCTCTTTGCTTGCTCTTCTTTGCTTTCACCTGACTTTTCCTCTTCCATGCTTTCAGGGCAAGTAACGCAGGACAGAGAACTGGAGTTATTGGGAATAATGCCCTTAGGCCAGTGGAGCAGAGCTTTGTGAACTCTATGCTCTATTTCTGTTTGCGCACAGGGGGCTCTGCAGCAGGGACTCTGCTTTTCACAGCCTCTCACTCTGTTGAAGAGGGAGTCTTGAGGCTGGACTGGAAGGCACTTGAGAAACTGGTTAACGTCCACATCTTGAGAGAACTCCTGGGCCAGATCCAAGCGCATCGCAGCCAGTAACTCCATTAGACATTTGACGAAACGATCCCATTCTGTGGTGATACTGAAGAGAGGTCCCTCAAGAGGTCCCCTGGTGACTTCCACATCTCCGTCTTTCTCCAAAGTGAGGCACACTCTCTCCAGCAGCATCTTTGTATTGCTAAGGATGCCGCAGGTGCCCTCCAGAGTTTGACTCACTGCTGCCGCAATCTTTCCTACTATTTCACCAAGTCTCCGCTGCCTCCATTTATTCACACTGCTCGATTCAGAGAGATTATCCAGCACTGTCTTCTGGATCTTTTTCCGTCTGAAATCATCAAAGGACTGCAAATACTCCAGGAAACCTTCAAAGCGGTCCTCCTGAAGTAGCTCTTCCAGCAGGCTTTGGTGGAAGGCATGTGGGGAATGATACTGTGGATCATTACTTCTGATTTCCTCAACAATATGCATCCCCAGTGGTTTGTAAATGTAATCTAAGACTGTGGGTTTGAGGACCATGGAGGTGAATGCTTTAGCCATTCTCTGGCACTGGTCTCTCTTCCTGAACCGGTAGATAAACTGTGCCAAGTACCGACTCTTGTTTGCGGTGATGCACATTAAAAGCTCTGTGTCCTTTGCGTAGCGGTCATGTAGTTGCTGGAAGTCTCGGCATGCACAGCTGCAGAGATACACTTTCAGATCCACTTCAAAAGCTGATCTGATTTCCATGGATTTCTCCTTCAAAGCTTTCTCAACGTTATCCAACAGTTCTGTGATATAGCTGTCAGAGAAATCTGCTGTTAAGCTCGATTTTGCTGCTACAAACTGATTGTAATCTTCGATGATATTGCTTGCTACGTTTTGAGCCTCTAACCTTTGTAGCCTGTTGTTATCTTCAAACATGTGCTTCAATCTGCTGCGGTATCCGAAGTGCTCATCATAAACCATGAAGGTAGGTGTTGGATTTTGACTTATGTCCTCCAGTTTTTTGATGTGTTTCTGGAGGCCACGGCTGATAAGGTTTTCTCTCAGAATATCAGTCACTCTGGATGTAATATCATCGGTTTCTGACGGCCTGAAGTCAAAGTCGGACACCGTCTTTTTCCACACACTTTCAAATTCTTCTTCTAGCTCTGTGTCTTCAAGGAGGACATTTGTCAACCTGCTGTTCTCCAACAGTGCACTCTGCTTGGATTCCTGTTCTTTTTCCAATAAGGTCTCAATCTTTTGCAGCTGTGTTGAGGAGCAGTGGCTTTCTGTTACTTCCTCTAACCTGTGAGCGAACTTGTCAGTCTCCTGCTCCTGGAGTTCATCCAGATTTTGCATTAGGATTGGCCTGCATGCATACATTTTGAGAACATCATCCTTCTCCAAATGGGAATCTATTTTGGACCTGATTTTGTCAACCTCAGCTTTAACTTCTTCTTTAGATTCATCTTTTAACTGACTTAGAAGGTCATTTTGTACTTCAGCATCCAGCGCCTTTGCCTTCATGGCAAAGATTTTCTTTGTTGCCTCCAAGAGCCAGTTTTCCATGTGCTCCTGACAAGTGTCCTTCCACTGAGAAAGCTCTGTGCACAATAAGGATAATGCCGAAGCTATGTCAGTGTTTTGCAGACCAACAGAGAATGATTCTTCTTTCACTGCATCCCAAACGGCACACAAACGACAAAAAAACTCAGATAGTCCCGTGGCTTCGGACTTTCTTGCACAGTTCTTCAATGCCCCAAGTAGGTTCTGCTTAAGTTTTAACAAAGCCTCACTGTAATGTGCATCAACTGGCTCAGACAGACACACATTGTACCAAGGCCCCTTGACACAGGTGATACTGATTGGGGTCTTTGCATATTGGGGATCGGTATCGTTGGTTTCTTGTTCCTCAGTCTCAGTTTGGAGTATCTCTGAAATACGCAGTAGTTGCAGTGCTTGTAATGAACTGTTTATTCCTTCATCCTGAGCCAGGATCTGGCAAATGGGGATGGAGGCTGATTCTTTAATGCGTAGGAGAGCATTGACTATCACTGATAAGTTCGTTTCAACCTCAATACTGCCATTTGAAGAAATGTTGTGCAATAAAACATCACTCAACCCCGTTGCAACGGTAGATATTTCATTGTCGTGGATCAGTGTTCTTTTGTTGGGTTGTGGCTTTGAGCAGAGACCTTCTGCATCAATCAGCAACAGGAAATCACACTCCATGTCCTCTCTAAGGTACTCAGGGAGGCACAAGGCAGCCATGTACAAACCTCTGGTGGATCTTTTCCTCCCTTCAGGAAATTTTACCCCAAATAGTGCAGAAAGGACCTCTGCATTCTTGGCACGATGCACTCCAAGATTCGTCATCACCCGGGTCCTGCACCGATCTTGAGGCAGGCGCCGTTTTAGCTCTGCAAAGACACAGCCCAGCCAACGGGTTGGGATGTTTGAGGCGTCTCCATCCATCAGTTCAAGAGGAATCCCATAGAGAAGAAGATCCGTCGCTAAGCCAGGGAGACGTAACACGTTTTGGTTTCCACTGCCAGGGCTGATGTTTGTTAGCTCAAAAATCAGGCCCATCTCACGCATGAAGTGCTCAAGTCCCAACCAAGATGGATCAAGTTCAACAGCCTGTGGACTTTCAACTACCTGATGTTCGACAGGAACATCTTGGGGCTTGGCAGAAGAAGCTAAATCTGGCTCTGCAAGTGTCACCTCTGGCTCATCTTCCTGATTATCTTGGCTGATGGAGGTTCCATTTTCATTGAGCTCTGAATGAGAGTTCTGGTTCTGAGATTCTGTATCTGAAATTTGCTCTTCCGAACTCTCATTTTCTCCATTAATCTCTTGACTTTTCTCTTTTGATATCAAACATAACTCCTGATGTATGACTGGATCATGATTGGACTCAAGTTCATCGTTCTGTTGCACCTGTGGTTCTGTGGTCTCCTCTGTGGGCTCTTGCTCCAAGTCCTGGCTTGGTTCTGACTGCTGAAATGAAACTGGTTCAGTATCTATGGGTAGACCGTCAGTTTCTCCGGCTTCAGATGTTGAATCTGTGCAGAAACTATCACTGTCACTGTCGACCTGTGTGCCATTGGCACCATTTTCAAGCTCATCAGGATTTTCAGGTGGGTCATCGTTCCTTTCTATCTCTGGTTTTGGGAGTAAATCTCTGGGACCTTTTGGTCTTTCTGTTTGCATCAGGGAAAGCTTCAGCTTCATCGAAGTGAGGAAACAGGACCTCTCCACTTTGTCGGCTCCAAAAAGCACATCTGTGAAAACCTTCATTGCTGGTGTCATTTTGTAGGTGCTCAGAGCCACCAGGTAGTCTTTCTTATCCATTTGCATCTGGGGGTTGAGTTCTCTACCAACTTTTTTCAATTTTTTCTCCTCTTTTTCTATTCTGGCTAGTTTGCTCCACAAAACACCCTGCAGAGGGAGCTGTTCCTTCTTGAATTTCACCGATCCTTCTTCTAAACCTTTCAAAACTTCCTCTGCTTTGGCCATTGCCTTTTTACAGACTGCCCCTTCATCCACATTCAGGCCCAGTTCCTCTGCTAGCTTTGCTGCCTCCTCAAGTGTAACAAGTTTCAGTTTGTCTGGTAACAGATCTTTCAGGGTGTCAGATAGTCTACCACGCAATTCATCTTCACTCAAAACATTTCCTTGGAGGACTGATTCTTCAGGCAGCCCCAAGTTTTTGCCAACATCCTGATCAGCAAACCCAACAGTCCTGTTGTCATGTTCCTCAGTGTCTGAAAGGTCAATCAGTATGAGCTTGTTTGCCATGTGTTTGCAGGAATCAAGGAGTTGTTTATCTTTCTCCCTAAGATCCCCACAAAAAATAACAACAGCTGATGATGCTTGGCAAAGCAGGCTGAGGTGTTTCTCATGTGAACTGCCATCGCCGCGTAGGTTTGAGATGACCACAGGGGCTGGAAAAATGTCCCTTGCAGTGTCTCCAGTGGGAAGACACCAACTAATCTCTACCAAGCCATTTGAAAGTCTTCTAGGCAGCTGTCCTCCATCCATCTCTCTATGGAGAAATGTTTCGCTAGGGGAACCGAGTCCACCTATAACCTTGTTTAGCACCTGTGACTTGGATATACCACATCGACCAAGCTTCACACAGGAAATCATCGTCATGTATGTGCTTGCTAAATCCCCTGCCTCAATCTTGTTTGCATCTGAAGTGTGAGATCTCCACTGGCTCCAAACACTCCTCAAAGGCCACAGGAGGAAGTGACTGGGTTCATCTGGATCGATGTTTGGAAGAACCAGAGGCACTGCAAACTGGCATTGCATCATGTGCGCAGTTATCTCCTGCTGGAGGAAAGAGTTGGAAGACATATAAACAGCTGAAACTAAATCAAGCGGGTTGGTGTCACATTGGATCTCTTCACCAAAACCATTGGTCATCTCCTCAGATGATTTGTCGCCATTGCTCAGAGTATCATGGGGGATTTTGCAGCAAGTACTGCGGGCATCAGGGTTTAGCTGCCAAAGGCGTTGGAGGAAGGCATTTGGCAGGTCCTTTGACTCCATAGGAGCTTGGGTCTCTAGATTCCAAGTGCTGATGTCCAACATAGATGCTAGGTCCAGTGGTTTAGACCGGAAGGCCTCCAGGCCAAGTTTACTGAGAAATTCTGTCTGTGCATTGTCCTGTAGTGGTTCTGGTTCGAAAAATAAAAGAAAAAAGGAAAATAAAGTTATCATTAAAGATAAAAACAACTTTTAAAAAACCTTTATCTTCATCTTTAGAGGTATGATGTGTAAATGTAAAGCTCCTGTCAGGGACTTTTATCATGCATCAACTTTGGCAACTCCAGTGGACAAATCTTGTCCTGTACTTGGGAAAGAAGTTATTAAAAATAATAATGATAATCTTATCCTGCTGTCTTTGACAACCACGCTTACAAGATAACAATCACTGCAATGAAAAATATCAAACAAAACTTCCTGTTATCACTTCCTCTGAGATCTGCCTCACTGCATTAGTCAAATAGTCAAAGTGTTTGCTCCTTTTCACAATAAATATGTTATTGTCACAATTATCCATAGTTACATTTTTTTTTTCATTTTGAGTTTTCCATGAATATCTGGATAACATCATCAACATTAATTGGGCAAAGGCAATTTGTAAGATGAAAGTTTGATACTGTTATCTCCCAATTTCAAGCTTATGCTCATGCAAACTTGGCCTCAACAAACTGTAGATCAAACTATCAAGCAGAAAACAGAAAGATATATGCATCAGATCATCAAGTAGTATCAGTGTGTTCTTCATAACCTGTGGAGATATCTGAATTATACCTGTACCTGAATGGTGTTACTTAGACAGTGTTTTAGAGCACACTACATTACACAGAGACAGCTGTACATGGTTAAAGTGACATTCGACCTTCTAATTGCCTCAGACAGATGACTTCTCTCTGTAATAGTCCTGTTAGACCTCAGTGTGGTATTTGACCGTAGCATCCTGTTACAGGGACTTGGTTGTCATTAAAAGGAACCACATTAAGCTGGTTTAAATCCTATTAATCAGATTATTCTCACATTGTACATGTCACCAATGAAGCTTCTATGCACGCTAAAGTTTGTCAGTTTCACGGTGCTTTGCTCATCCTGTAGATATTGACCCTTTACCTTCTTTAGGTCTTAAGAAAACACTTCACCCATGTCCATTTTTTTTTATGCAGGTGATAACTGTTCTATTCATGAAGCCAAACGCAACCAATAAAAAAGCTCTGATCATAGCACAATGTTAGAAATTTGGTTGTCTTTGATAAGGAAATTCCCTTCCTCACCGACATGCAATTCAATGCAAAATTAGGTACATTGTATTTCAAAAGGAAGCAGAAAAATTGTTGCATGCATTTGGAAATTCAAAGGTGAACTTTTGCAGGACTTCCCTCCCTTCACTCCTTAAAAATGGAGCTAATATTGTCCTGTTGTCTCCCTTGAAAAACAGCACTTGTGGTTTGCCTCATGCTCGATGTACCTTAAGTATCCAAAATCAGTGTGTGGTAGGCAAGCAGGCATTTAACAGGTACATATCTCTTTGTGTGGAGTTTTCTGCCAGTTTTGTTGAGGGTAATATTCACAGCATACACCTGGGGCTTCTCCAAACCTGCACCTCCTGTCTCATAACACCTAAAACAGCTGACATGTCTCATGTTTGCACAAACACTTATGTTTTGCTTTGCTGTAATTTCCAGTAATTGTGGGCACATTTCCAGGAAGAGCACAGTTATTGTTGACATGGGCTATGAAGCTGTGTTATTATAGGAAAGTATAAAGCACGTATAAAGATAGACAAAGAGATATATCAAGGACTCAAGGTTTAAGTGCATGCCCCCATATATAGAGACTATAGTCCTCATCAAAGCAGTTGCTAAATCCACTCCCACTCACAACCCTCCGCTGCTTATCTTAGTCCACTCTTTACTCCCTTTATTTCCTGCCCCTTTTCAAAATTAATAAATTAATATTTTAAAAACCCTTCTGTCCCAGCTTATAACAGCTCTTTATTTTACAAGGATATTACTAAAAACAGTTTTTACACAAATTAGTTCAAACTAGTTAAACATTCACAGAATAAAGTACCTTTTTAATCACATTTGAAAACCCCTCTAAGGGCTCAAACATGATGCCTTTTGTGATATCCAAAGGCAAACAAGGCCACCAGGGATGAAATTGGCAATCTGTGTACTGCCAGTTTTTATGCTTGAATTTGGTATGAGGGGGTAGATATCAGCCAAGCAGCCGAAGAAATAGCCAATAATTACAGTCAGCAGGATGAGATTTTTTCCCCTGAAATACATTTCTCAAGCATGTAGAGGAGAAGATAAGCAAAGACTACTAAGTCCACGGGGGACACCAAAATTGACACAAACTGAAAGTGTCTCACATGAGCTCAAAACTGGAGGAAAATAAAGAGGTATTATTCTATTTCTCTCACCAACTGAGTAAAAAAAATGCTCAAAAATTGAAAAAATCAACAACAACAACAGAAAGAAATAGATGCATCTGTTTTACCCCTAATTTCAAAAAACATGCATGTTTTTAAAGGTGCCAAAACATACTCCTCTGCCTCAAAGCCAGAACTAAGCGAATATAAAAAGTCACTCACCTCTAAAAAGTCTGCTTCTGCTTTTAAAATTGACAGTCTTGCTTAATTTTGATAAAATAATATATATTCACAGCAATTTTAGATAAGTTCAAAAGTTCCTTTGTTCCTTCAATGATGCCAAAACTCCTAAAACTAAAATGAAAATGAAAATAAATCTTGAGAACCTACTTTTCTTTTTGCTGCTCAGCCTCTTTGACAACTTGACTGACATGATGAATGCAGCTGAGTGTCTCTCCTGGTCGTTCGTCTGCGCTGGTCAGCCACTCACCATGTGAAGTGCTGTCTGGAAACCTGCGATGAAAATTCAAACCATAAGCATGACCAGCATTCAAATGGTAGCAAAGAAAACAAAGCGGTCCAAAGTACTCACAGACCCCCTTGGTCCACTTTGATTATTGCTGCAAAAATCTCATTAGAGAAAAACCTCGTCAAAGCCAGCTGTGGAAAGTACGGAAAAGTCTGGTTTGTCTTGTTTTTTTAATCTTTTTGAGACACTCCACTGAACCAAAAACCTCCTCCCTGATTTCTTTTTCTTTTTGTCACAATGAAACCTAATCCACAGGGCGCTGAACATGATATATGGCTGTAATTGCTGATCTTCGGATCATCAGGCTGTCAGAAAGATAAAGCACAGCTCAAAGCATAGCTCAATCTAGAGGTGACTTTAATTTGATTTATTACTGCTCTTTCTCATGAGTTTGGCTGGCTCCAGTGAGATATTAAGAATTGTTACTTTTATAGATTTATTTTGCTTAAACTAGAAAATGCAGTATTATAGAAATTCAAAGCCTTACTTAAATAAAATATTATTGATAAAGACATCATAGATAATAGCAGTAATTGTTAATTTTTAATGCTATTGCAACGAAGCATGAGTGTGACATTGCTGATAATAAAATCAAGAAATCTTAGCACAATAATAGCCGGTGTGTACTTCTGCTCTTTATGCACAAGCAGGATTATCCTTGCAAAAGTAGATGTTTTAGATATTGATAGTTTCCTCATAAGCCAAATATATGAGCTAAATATAAATTTATTTGTGACCAAGTTTGTGTTCAAAATTTTAGATCCTTACCTGATTTTTCCTCCTCATTGAATTGGTAGTTTAAAGGTTGGAAGTATCCTCACATTGTATCAGTCACCAGGTGGGTGCCTGTCTCTGTCTGAAGAGCTCTTATACCTGTCTGCTTAATGATAGCACACATTCCTGCACTTCTGTTTAACCTCTTATGAACAAAATGAATATCAGCTGTATGCACGCACACTCACAGGGCGTAAGTGAGATTAGTGCTTTTGCAAAACCTTTTTTTTTTCTTTTCTTCTGATAACCAGATAACAACAAGCAGTGTCTCTGTCAAAGCACAGAGCCTGTTAAGATGTTGTTTCACTGTCCTGCAGAAAGGATTATCATTGGTCTGTATGGGGTCACAGGTGAGGTTACAGACAATGACGCACTCCTTTGTCAAGTGTGATCGCTCAGAACTATTTCTATCAGATTACAGCGGTAACATAGCTGGCATACTGAAGCTCTCTTTTTGTTTTTTTTTTACAGATATGGCCCATTTCACCTGCTAGAACTCGCTCTGTAGGGTTAAACTCTAAGTATCTTATCGTAGCAGTGTGTTGGCTTCTTTATTTTAAGGTCAATTCAGACACGTGAATCGACAAGAAATATTCAAAAGGATCAGAGTACTTAAACCCAAGTGCTGTTCCTACATGTGCATGTCTAGTCAGCTAAAAGATGACAGCAGCATCTGATCAGTTAAACTAGTTATAAATGTTTTTATCATGATAGGTCTAGAGTGCCAGACGTATGTTGTGTCAAAGCAGTAGGCTGGGGCTTTCGCTCTAGTGTCTGGTTAAACTGTTGTATAATCACTTGACTGGAGCAATGCCAGAACAAGAAGTACAACAGCTATGATGACAAGGGACTGGTGTTGTTAGCTCTGACAACTTCAACCACACAATTTGACATGGTTTACCTTCAGACTCTGCCATCCCATTTTCAGCTGTTAGATAAATCAATCTCAATTCTGACTTTTTTTTTTCTCCAGAGTGATTCTTACCTTAAGACCCATCCTTTAGTCTGACTTTCATTTTTATGTGGAAACAACCTCAATGTTTCTGTTCTTAGTATAGTTTTTGTCAGTACATTGCAGCTAAACTTTAAAATATTAATTTGAATATTATTAAATATTATACAGCTAAATATTATTGTTATATATTATGAAATTAATGATAAAAGGAAAATAAATCCAGGATAAACTAACTTAGAAAAGATTTCCTCTTAACCTGTTTTAGCCTAGAGAGATCTGAATCAATACAGGGAACTTTAGCTGAAGTAAAGTTATATAGTAGGCAGACTCAAACTTCATGCAAGAAGAAATGATTTAAAAAACTTGCACATGTGTCTCAAGATCAAATATAGAATTTATTATAAATCTGATCCAAAAAGTAGATACAGAATTCACACTTCACTGGTCTAATTTTATCTATGGGTCCTAAATGACATTAGATTTGGGTGCATTGGTTACATCAAAGCAGCGACCTCAGGCCTCGAGTAATAAACCTGATGCTCATGTGCTTAAAAACTGCAGTTCCAGTAAGTGTCCACTAGAGGCTGGCTGCAAATGTACCACAAACTACACTCACAGTTCTTTATAAAAAGCCATTATTTAGAGTAGAAATAAACATGTTTACAGCCTGTTTTAAAAGGTTTTGGTTTGAATAGCTGGTTTCTCTCTTGGCACACTGTAAAAAGGGTGAGTTTTGTAAATATTGCACTCACTTTGAAGATAACAAGGTCCAGAGTTTTGCAGCATTAGGAGCAGAAATGACTTGACCGACAGGCAGGAACATAATGGCTATTAGTGAAGAGTCTGCTTTAAATAGGATTGACCAAAGAAGTTAGTTTGAGTTAGCTTTTTGGACATTGGACCATTGACAGGCTTCGAAATGAATAGGTAACATCACTGTGACTGCATCCATGTATTACACAATCTGTAGAACAACCTATGCTCAATAACGTGGCATTTTTTAAGATGAAAAAAGTACAAAATATGCATCTCATACTCTAATGTTTAGGATAAATCACAAAAACCTACTTTAAAAAAAAAAAAAACATGAACTGCTCCTTTAACGCTCATAAATGATGACTGATAACTTTGCTGTTTTAGAGTGGTATAAAATCTCTTTGATTGCTTAGAGCAGAAGTGTAACATTAAGACTTAAGACAATAAAGAAAATAAAAAGCTGTTTGTTCTCTGTTTGAAAGTCTTTTTTTTTTCTGACTAGAAGCTCATCCTCTTCTCGGCTGGTACGGTGGGCACTCACCTGCAGGATAAGTCCTGAGTGAGGAAAGATTACTGCATCTCTATTTCTGTCCCGCAAAGCTCTTTAGCAGCCTTCGACTCGTGTGTCAGAGACTGTGGGAATAAAGTTTGTGTCTGTGTGTGAGCATGTGTGTGTGTGTGTGTGCGTTTTGTTTATACCAGAGAAACTTGTGTGTGTGCAGACAGACTCAAGCCTGTGAGTTTAATTGTCCCTCACTGATTCAGGAAGCATTGCTGATCGCTGGTTTGGACTTTCTTTCTTGCAGCAGGACTGTGGAAACTACCGGAAAACCTGAGACGAATATTCAAGTTTTATTTGGACTAGTAAAAGAAGAGTGGTCAGGATGTTGATTACTATGCTAACAGCCATGTACATGATGGTCAGAGTCGTGGAATCGGTGAGTTCATCATAATCAAGACTTTGGTAAATGTCTTCTGCTTTTGTTGAAAGAAACATCATGATTTCCTCTCCCTGCAGGTTTTGAATCAGATTTATATTGACGCATCAAAATCTGACAAGGCTGGTGTTACAATAGGTGGTCAGTGTCAAAACAAAGCTTGGTGAATGTTGATAAATCCAATAGGGGTGGGAATCACCAGTGGTCCCAATTATCATGACACTTGGGCCACAATACGATATTATTGTGATTTTTAACATTTTGCGATACAATATATTGCAATTTATATAACTTTTTCAACTGTTTAATTAATTTAGCATTTGTCTTTCTTTTATGTTTGTCTTATTTACACTGTATTTTATTCTCATGTAGCACATCTTGCAAACCTTTCACATCTATATTTGTTGTACTAACTTTCTCCTGCTCTTTGACGTCACCTCTGCCAACCTCACTGGACAAACAGTTGATTTTATTTTTCCGTTATCGTAGATTTGACTCCAAACTAGGAGTTATAGCAAATAGCAATATCGCAATACTATGCTATATCCATTTTTTCTCCCACCCCTAAAATCCAACTATAATCAATATGGCACTGGACAAACTTCTGTGCTTAAATCCTCTCTGCATATGAGTCAATATCTTGTGGTGAAGTCTCCAATAAATGTGGAGTAATTCAGATGTGAAAAGTCAGGCAATGTCATATTGAGAAAAAAAAAATAGAAAGCTAAACTGTTTTTTTGTTTGTTTACCTGACACATATGTGAGATTTAGAGAACAAATCAGGTGTTAACGCCTCGAGCTGAACGAGAGTGTTGCTTCTGTTTCAGTTTTTGCTGCACCTCTAACCTCACATCCCTTTCATTTCCAGATAGGGACGCGGTTTGCACGAGAACAGGACCCACTGCCTTACTTGGTGTCCCAGCCTTTGCCTTGGCAGGTTCACTCCGTGTCGCACAGCAGGAGGGGGAGCAAAGCAGAGGAGGTTAGTTATGAGAGAAAACGCTGCAAACCACCATCACAGAAGATGCCTCACAGTCCCTCTGCACACACGTAATCTTTAAGTCCTGGCTCTGCTGGACAGCGAGAAGCTCCACCAGGTGTCCTTTGTTATTTAATACTGAGAGACAGCATGTGGAAAGTGGAGTTGGCAAGGCTGACTCAGCATGAGAGCATTAAAGCCCAGTCACATGTCCAATGTTTGCTGTTAGATTCTTAGCAAAAGATATTAAGGTAAGAAGATGCACACGGCGGAAGAGACTTGAGAAGCTTTTACAGTTAAACAGCACCGGCTATTTCATGATTTAAATTAATGTCCAGTTTTGGACCGAACTGAGATAAAGAACCTTTCTGACCTACACTTTTTGAACACACAAACAGCAAGAGAAACTTTAGTGGGAGACAAATAAAAGGGTAAGAAAGAACACATCAAGAAACCAGCAGGGAGTTTAACTGAAAAGGCAGAGGTGAAGAAACATTTCTGTCACCTCGCTGACTGTGGTTTAAAGAGATACTTGACCTTCTCGATCACGTCGCAGAGCCTGTGTGTCGGAGCGAACACACGCAGGCACGCAGCCAAACAGACTAGTAATAAGACTAAACTGGTCCAGCCTTCAGGCTTGTGGCTTCCCTGCTGCTGCTGTGTTTGGGCTTTAATCCCTATCAAGGGGATTTATGCTGGAGGTCATGGCTGTGGCTGCGGATTGAAAGGACACACACTCACTCAGGTGCAGTCACACATGAGCAGAACAGTCGCTATACATTATGTAAAGATGAGTCGAAGAAAAATGAGCAACTATCTTGTTTGCAGAGGAATGTGAAATATGTCTCAACGGAGTTTCAGATAAGATGTGACGTTAATTGTTGGCATACCACACATCTATCACCTCCTGAATCTTCTGGACCACATGACGTCTGATTCATACCTTTTTTTTTTTTCATTTATGTGCGTCAGTGAGTTTCCTCCAACCAAGCGATTGAAAAAAGTCCAGCGTGGAATGCAAAAAAACTGAAGGCTGACCCAGGAAGACCTTATCTCAGCGTGTAGTAAAGGGGTTTGGGAGTGGATCATCTAAACCTGTGATAGATAGGACAGCTGAAGAATGACCGGAAATGTGAGGAACAGAGATTGGCAGGTGACATGCAGCAAATACAGCCTACATACAATTTAATCCATACGTTCTAGATCTAAATGCTGTCAAACTGCATCATGCTTCAAGATGCTATCTCTCACCTGTGTAGGTTTACGTACAAGTAGAGCGTTACAGCCCCAGATGGTTGCAGATGGCCACACCACAGCTTGAAAACATCACCTTAAGTTGAGTGGAGGTTGATTTGACTGATAGATGTGTGTGTTTAACAGGGTTTGTACAAGGCAGTAATGCAACAACTTCAACTCCTCCTTCACTTTGTCAGTACACTGAGCCCACTGAGTATTTTTTGGTCTAAAAGAGGTCTAATAGACATCTTAATGTAGCCGAGACGACTGGTCTAAAATCAGGCTACCACAGGTCTAAAAATGAAAGTTTTCAGACGTCTAAATTTAGATTGAGTTTAGACTAGTCAGCTTACAGAGGTCTACCAGTATATTGCTCAACGGCTATCATAATTATTTTGGTTTAGCAGTTGGAGATCAGTTATGCAACTCGCAGTTGCTTTTTGAAATAAATACTTATGGAATAGCGGGTTAAAGTGCAACGTCTAAACTCCGTCGAAAGATATACAGAATCTAGACGGTTGAAATAAGGTCTAAAAAATAACTAGACGTCTATTGTTCGGTGGGGGGTTTAAAAAAATAAGTTGGAGTCACCATTTTCAAAGTGGCGACCACCACCGCTGGACTTCTGGTCAATGATAAATGGATTGTGTTTCTTGACCACTCAAACATCACAGGTCACATTCACCCATTCACACACCAATAGCAGAGGCTGCTTGTTATAGAGTTTGTTATCAGTTTTTTGACCAATTCCACTCATGCACCGCTGAGTGCAGCCACTAAAGGCAGGTAGGGTCAGGTGTCTTGCCCAAGGACACTTTGGCATGTGGACAGCCCCTTGGATTGAATCCCAGATCTTTGGATTGGGAGAGAACTGACTCTACCAGCGAGCCACAGCCGCCCTCTACTGAAATCACCTGGACTTCATCTATGTTTTCTACAGTCTATGAGTCTCACACATACCTGTTCTGCTTCTGTTACAGTTTGATGGCCTCAGGAGGAACAGCATAGGCGTGTACAGAAAGAGTGAGTAATGCAGTAGGTTAGAATAAATGCTGGCTATTTTTCTGCTGTGACAATTACAATCTAAAAGTTAAATTGTGGAATTTGGTTCAAATTATTGATCAAAACCTCATCAATCAGAAAAATAGCCTGCTTAAATCCTGACTAATAAATGCACCATGTGTTTGAACTCAATCATTGCTACAGACTTTGTCTCCATGGCTTTTGCCTCAGCCTCTGCCTCTCTGGCTATCCCCTGTGTCCTGTCGTGCTCAGACTCCAACGCCAGTAACGGGACATGCCCTGTGCCCCCGGTGCCTCCGCTCAGCCCTGTGGAAGTGGAGAAGGCCGCCGCCACCATCCAGACCCACTTCAGGAAGTTCCAACAGAAGAAACAAAAGAATGGCAAGTAAACCAGCGGGGAGCAACGGTGTGGAGATGATGGTGAGGGACGGCGTGGATTCACCAAAGCAGGAATTCACTCTGTAACAGCGCACATTAACAATTGTACATACATTCAAGCTGTGTTTTTAACACTGAGTAGAGCCCCTGGATGGGTGACAGGATAAACTCAAACATGCAGTATTAGAGCACATTGAAATTCTTGTTACACCTTGTTTAAAATCTGTCTGAATACAATTTGTAAATATATACAGAAATACAAATATAAATATATCCAGATATGGAAATGACTGTGAATTGTTTGTTTATAAGCAGGGTTGTCATTTTTTAACATCCTTGATCTCTTAAAACTAGTAAAAAATTTGACTGAACTATTAAAGCAAATGGCACTGTGGGAGAGTATTTAATTTACTGAAGCACACTGCCCTCTAGTGGTTTAATCAGAATATGACTTGTTTTTTCAAATGGATGGTTAAAATGCAATAGCAAGTTTGAAATTGCCCCCACTGTAATTATACACTATATTCCCTGCAAAGATTAGACGTATTATTCTTAAGGTTTTGAATAGAAACTTCAGCTGCTGTGAAATAATTTTTATAAGACCAAAGTAAACAGATAACCAAGAAACAATTGACAATAGTATGAATTTGTGAAATCATCAAAAATAATGACTCACCAAGAATCAATGAAAGGTTAATCACAGAACTTGCTTTGCCTTTTTTTTTCTTGTCATGTTTCATAAAGACTGTGTAGTAAACAGAAACGTTATTAAAGACAAAAATTGTAACCAGAAAAATATTGTCACTTGTGTTTTTGTCGTAAAAGACTGGAAAAAAAAAAAAACACCCCACGGTAATGGGCTTGTCTGCATTCATCCACTAACACTTAATTAAATAGTTTATTATTTACTTTTATTTAATATTTATATTATGACTTTAAGGCTTTAGGTAAAGTTGATAGCTTTAGGACAAATATAATGGCCTATTAAAATGAGCGGAATCACCTAAAGTAGTAAAACTTTGCTGAATTCTGTTCAAAGATGAAGTGCATTTCATTATATACAATATTTACATTGCATATTTTTAAAAGGTTGTTTTCTATAATATCAACACTTCACAATAAAATTTGAATGCTGTGAAAAAGTTAAATATTGTTCATAAGTTAGTGAGGAAAGTGATTTATATTAAAGACTAAAAACATGTAAAATTAAATGTTTCAGTCACGACCTGAAGGTCAAAGAGTGAATGAAACAAAAATATTGTTAATTTTTGGGAATATTTTTGAGAAACACACATCAAACTCAAAGAAAAAAGTATTCATAATGTAGTGCTATCTCATAGATGCACTGTTTATGCATTTAAATGTCCACACCCTTTCTATAAGATTATAGAGGAAGGAAATTTCTGTTTAAGTGCCCAAAATGTTGAAAAAAACGGGTTAAAAATGGATTTGTGTCCTAAATCAGTATCCTTAATTGTTCTCACATTCAAACACTACTTTCAGTATTTTTCTATTTCAGCTGCTTTGTGTCTGAAGACATCGTTCCTGTTCAAATACAGGTCCAGGCTCACATGACAGGAAAAAGATCATAACTGCTTATCCTCTCTGTGCTCATGAAAGAATCAATAATATGATCACAGTTCATAAAAAGATAGCTTTATTGCACAAGGTGTTGAGTACTCTTTTTCTGTTTTTGTCTGTTTTCATAGAAAAGAAATAGAGTTAAACACAAGCAATTGCAAATTGAAGCAACGTTTCCCCAGAAAAGATTCAGGAACAACCTCTGCATTTTTAAAATGTTTTCAGAAACCCCCTTTTAAAATGTTCAGTTCAGTTCACCGGTTCTTTTTCTCCTTTATAACCAGCAAATTTTCAGAACATGCAATGCTGCTGTCCTCCCTCCATAAAGTGGAAAAATAAAAAAAGGCAGATTCTAAATCAAACAACCTGTGATAAAGTAAAAAAGGAGCAAAAACAGAAATTAAATCTAAAACAAAAAATACAAATTAAAAAAGGAGACAATGCAAACAAATATCCCCGAAGAAAAGAAACAGGATTTTTAACTATGCATGGTCCACTCTGTCATGTTTCAACTGGTCCATAAATCAAGATAAAGCAGTGTCTCTATACTTCTATAGTTTTTCTTTAAGTCCTCTTCTGATTCATTACAATAACTTCAGTTCAAAGTTTACATTGTGCCCTGGTTTTCTAGTGAAGATGTCGAAAATATTACTCATTTATACAAAACACTTTCCTATGTACACAAATCTTCTGTTATGGAGTAGAAATCATGTTTTGTAGGCGGGCGGGGGGGAGAAGGTGAGAGGGGGCTTCTGATTGGTTGAGCAGATTAGGAAAAGGTTGGGGAGAGCACACACGTGAAGTCGTCCCTTTAAAAAACACAGTCTGAGTTAGTTTGAAAGTGTGCAGATTTGTTTAAAGGAAAAGTTCACCCTTTTTTTACGCAGATTACCCGGATTACTTCTTACTTTTTGTACGTCATCATTTCACAACAAAACATAATGATAAACCTTTTCAATTGAATGTGAATTTCTTTTTAGACTCTGTAATTTCTCACCATGACCTCAAGATAATTTACCACCTATTAAAAAATGTAAAGCTTTAAGTCGTGGTTTTTAGACTTCAGATGTGTCTCAAAGCGGCATTTAACTGAATGAAGGAACATTTTAAAAGTCAAGATTATAAAGCTCATGTGATTATATTCATCTGATTCTCAAATTAACCCACTGGTAAGAATCACTGTTAATAATATCACTGTTAATATTATTAATATGAGTTCTGAAACCCGGAATCTATGTAATTTTAATCAAGTATGCAATTATCAATACGATTAATCACATAAATATTGATTTATATGAGTATTTTAATCAATGGTGACTAAAATCGTTAATAACAACTTTTGGTAAACATTAAAGGGACAGTCCCACATTTTCAGAGATTAGATGTTTTGAAGTAATACTGAGAGCTGGGACTAAGGACTGTTTAAATGTGTCATAATTCACCTACAAGATCCATGAGAGCTTTTAATCAAGGACACATTTTTGTTCAGTATACACAAAAATGTAGAGAGTAAATGATGCTAGTGTGGCAGGCAGGTAAACCATAAACTGTCATGAGATTGGCGTCAATCAAAACAATAAGCGTTCTTCCCAAATTTTCTCTTTTTGTTGGTTTATTCAGATTGATGTTCTTCTCAGTAATTTTGTTGAAGTGTTAAACGGTGATATTTTCCCCGGTGTTGTACAAAAACACACACTTTCGTCAAACTAACAGCAGATCAGTGTTTTAGAGCAGAAACGACTTCAGCGAAGAACAGGGGGGGAAGCAGTATCACTCCATACTGATATTCAAACAAGCAGAGGAAGCCTCCACTCGCTCGATTTCCAAACACTCCGAAAACAAGTGTTTGCACAGTTTGAAACGTAAAGACCAAAATAAAAGGCATCATAATTATTATCAATGGTAAGTCAAATAAATTTCTCTCCTGTGTATTCAAAATAAAAGGGAACATTTATGAGTTAAACTTCTCACTTTGTGGCATATTTTTCAGCCTGCAGTTTCGAGAGGGCTCTTGTATTGTGACAGATAAGAAACAAATACTCGTTGGTCTGTTTGTCGTCATTAGTAAGAGTCGGGTAATGGCAGTGAGTTTGTGAGCACACATTTGGAAGGTACATTACAACATTTTACAACAGACTCACTAACTGGATAAGCTTTCTTTGCTTTACTGTTTCGTTTTCAACACCACACATTTTGCACTGAACCATCACTGCTAACCCGAGACACAGTCTCACACTATACTTTGACTTTGCTGTGCTTGTTCTCTCAGCTGCTACCTGCTGTTCTTGCAGCTGGAACATCTTCAGAAATCTCAAGGGAGGGTCATTCTCTAAAACATCAATTTCACCATTTCATGTTCATTCTTTATCTTCTTTATCACAACTTCCTTTCTCCCTCCAATCTCCAATCCATGGTTGTGCTACCCGTTTAAGCCTCCCTCTTTTTCTTCTTCCTTTTTTCCTTCTTGCAGGTTTTCACTCTGAGCGATTGTCTTGTGATCTTTTATATATATTCTCAATTAGAACGGCTTTTATATTTCTCTGCTTTTTTTCAATATTCATATATTTGCTATATATTTGAATAGAAATATATATGTACATACTTTTGAAAACAAACATATATATCTTTTTTTCTATTGCGAGAGCCCTGATGTTAGGTTTTGCGATTGCAAAACATTTGGAGCAACTCTTTTTTGGAACGATCTTTGTTATGGGATTAAGCTTTGGGAGAAGAAATGAGGGGAAAGTAAAAGAAAAGATATCTTTAAGCTAAAAGATACAGTACCATGCATAAAGCTAAAAGAATTTTCAGTGAGGTTGAGGGACTTGAAAACACATTTTTCACTTTTGAAGACCACTTATTTCTGAGGAAAAATTTCTTCTCTGTGTAATGTAACCCCCTCCCTCTTTTTCTTGAACAGCTCCGGATCCTTTCACCCCTTGATCTTACTCTCATTAAAGTCATAGTTGGTTCATATATTCAACATCAGTTCACACAAATAGAATTTTCTTGTATATATTTCTATTACTTTGCTGTAAGTTCTCAATTTGTCTCTCCATTTCGGTTGTCATGAACGTCAAGTAGCATTTCTGCCTCTGTGCATATTAGGCCTCTTCCCTCAGTCTGTCTGTCATTCCAGCTAGCTGGTGCGCTAGCAGTAGGTCACAGTGACACTGTATGGATGTGATGGGGACTTGGTGAGGAGACAAGACAGTGGGAAGGATAGAAAGGGGAAGAGTGGATACAGGTAGAACTTCTTAAACAAATCACAAAAAGATCTCTCCTTTCTTGAGGGAGAGGAAGGGAAACTCTATCCTGTTCTTTTTTGTAACCTATTTCCTTTTTAGCATTTCCTGTTCTGTCGATCATACTTAGAAAATAACTTCAAAATGTTGGACCAAATCAGGGTCATAGTGTTACATCATCAGCATAACTATTAATACTGTCCCCAAATCCCCTTTCACAGGTACAAAATGAGCAGTGGGTGATGGGAGTTGGGGTCAGCTTTGACACAGACGTCTGCCCGAGAGGTCAGCATACAGATTGATTTAAAAAAAGAAAGAAAAAAAAAAAGGTCCACTGTTGGTGTGTGCCTGCCACATGTATACATATATATATTTACACATATACACCCACACGCACACACACGCAGGCTTGTGAAGGTTTCTGTTACTTGGATCCATTCTAACTTTGTCTTAGTGCACATGAGATTATATTTCCAGCACTTCAAAATAAACAGAGAAACTGATGGAACGAAAAGGTTTGGATTCATCTTTCACTTGATGATACTCGACATTTTTTTTTTCACCTCTGCTTTGAGTCTGTTTATAAAATTGTCAATTAAGACCACTATGCTGCGTCATCCATTGCATGTATAAGAAAATTCCCCCACATCTCAAGACTGTTACTGAGACGTCCTTCCAGTCCTTCTGATGTACGAATCCACGACTGAGCCAGTGTAATACCAAGGTTGGTGGTTTATGCATACAGTAAGAGCATCCTGCCATGGCACAATGCTGTGATATGAACTCCCCTTCTTTCAAAGACCAGAGCAGTAACTTATTAAAAAGAAAAAATTAAAAATCTTTAAAAATAAAAACAAACAAAAAAAACAAGCCACCTGGTTCACTCTACAACTGTCTCGATCCAGAAAACAAGACAGTGCACGTGGAAAGCGTTTTGTACATAAGTACCGTGTCCTATCAGAAAATGAAG